CCCCCCCCCCCCCCGTCTGCCTAACCATAAAACGAACTTGGAGATCTTGGGTTTGCTATTAGACATTGATGCTTGTCAGTTATTCCCCCAATTCTCTCCAATACAGAGCAGGGTCTGAAGTATCAAGTTGCTACGCTATAATTGAGTAGCCAGTGATGATTGTCAGTGAGTTCATCAAAAGTCTCAGATAGATTGTGTTTCCCATGTCTGGTGATTCGAACCAATAAGCACCACTTCCAATATTAGATTGCAGTTTCCTGGTTGTACATGTTGAAATTCCTTTGTAGATATGATCCTTTTGCAATATTACCACAATTCTTTTCTCAATTCCTTCCAATTTCTGATAAAGAAAAATCTCCGTCCAATTCATTAAGCTTTGGACCAAAGAAAATCTTGGCTCTCATTTTCATTGCGCGAGACAAAGGTAGTCCCATTAGGCTCATCCTCCACTGTGGCAATGTTACGCCTGTCCGATTCTCCCACCCTGTCTCTCTCTCTCTCTCTCTCTCTAAATCTTTGCTGGACCTTGGCATCAATTAAGCATTGAAGTTGGTGTCAGTTTGTGAATGGGTAATGGGTAGGCTCCTTCCTGATTCTTCTTGAAGAATTGGTTGAGTGGACTGGGACTGTAAATATTTGTAGATTGGTCCTTCAAAAATCTAGTTTGACCCTTTTTTACTTCATTGGAAAAATAATTGTTTGAGCTTTAGGCCTTAATCTTCAATCGTACTTAAGAGTATTTTCATAATCCTGCCATGTGTGTTGAGTTAATTATTCTTACCTCCCTGATATCTGGTTTGTAGTTTTGTGCTACAATCTTTTTTAGGGTTATTGTTTTAGATGCATTACCAGCAGTTTCATTTTCTTAAATCTTAATGAAAACTTCTGTCTTTTAGAAAAGAAAAATCTCAAAATTTTCGTTGATAGTCTCACAGATTCCTTTCTGGTGTCTGCAAATTCCCTGTACATTGGCCCTTATGGAGAGTTGAATTGTGATAGCAATGATACCTTGGGTTCTAGTTAACCTTGTAGTGATGACCATATGTTTGCCCATTCAAACCACATCGGACCCATAATCTTATGGCTTCCTTTAGCTTCTCAACCTCAACCATGCAGTTTGAGGCAGAGTTGATTGGCTTTGGATATCCAGCATTCAAAATTGTCCTTTTGAACGGAAGAATTCCAATCTTTCCTTTAGTGCACTGGGATTCAGGTAGTCACAACTCGTTGCACAATTCCTTTGGTCCCTGCCGAGAAGTTAGGGGTAGGTGTTTTCCCACCTCACACTCTACCTCAATTTTAAATTGGAGACAAATTTCTCAATCACAACAATTTCTCAGGTTTGTCAATGATATTTACACTCTCGTTAGTAGCTGGTAGCTTCTGTTGGTCAGAATTGAACTTTCACTTCCATCGCTCCTGCCACCAAATTGACTTAAACAAGATTATTCCTCTTTTTTATGTTCTCTTGACACACAGACATTATATTTAATTCTTTTGGGAAAGATTATACAGGAAATTCAGGAGGCCTGTTCTGTGTGCCAAGAATGCTGGCTTTCAACTACCCACGTCCGTCTCTCCTTCACTTTCTTCTCCCATACCTTCTCTCTGGCTAATTCCGAATGTCCCATCCATAAAACTAACTAGAGTTATTATTGGACCTTTAGCCTTACGCATCACATTTCTACAATCACATTCAAGGCCATCTTACCAAAACTCTTTTCTTGATGGGTTACTCATTTTGGGCCCCTCTATACTAATATAGCATTAGTATACCATATTGGTGGCCTGGAAGGCCTATCCATTTTGTTCTAAGCAACTGTTGGATTTGGGTTCCTCCTTTTTCCCTTTTCAATTGGGTAGTGCTGTGTAGACCTTCTTGTAGTGCTAAAATTCAACACAGGGTGAGTCAAAGGATTATTTGATTGTACATACACTTATGCTTGGGTCTAGTGTGGTAGATTAAATAGATGGTACTTTAATTTTTGTCTTTTAACCATAAAGTAGGTTTTAACTTGGTTATTTGCCTTTCCCCCCAGTCTTACAACTATTATTTACTTTTAATGGTCTTTTCCATCTACATGGGGCCTGGCATTGTCATGATGGAGGATTGTCACTGATGAGGTTTAGACAATTTTGCATATTACTGGATTAGAAGTTGCAAACAAATAATCGTTCAGAAGAAATTATAATATATCAACTAGGTCATAGATTAACTAGCCATTTCATTAGTGATACATATAGCTCCTCTGTAGGTGTCTTCTTTTTGAACACCACCTTCAACTTGAACTTCACTTTTTGAACCTAGTATTTTACCCATTTTGCAGTCATTTACCAAGCAATAAGTAACAGTGAAATTAAAAGCAACTGTGTGGTTTTTTTTTTTTGTTCTAATGTAAAAAATGGTGCCCTTTATATTTGCTTTCATATGTTTGATACTTGATGAGACTTCTTTTTGAAAAAGTTTTGTCAACGTTGCTTTTAGTATTTTATTGCTTACCTTATCTCCTTGCTAACTGTACTATCTGTTGTTCCTCTTTCATTTTTCCGTCCTCCTTCATCATCATTTTTTACCAGTCATAATTACGAGGACATAAGATATATTTGGAAATTTTTAGGGTGGAATCCAGCGGGATAGTGAGCTTGTTTAAATATTATAAATGCCTCTTAATCCGTTGTTGTAACAGGTTCCTGAAACTGCAATTTTCTTCATCGAAGATGGGAAAAAGGTTCCTGCTGCTTGACAAGGAAATCATGGCAAACAAAAGTTGGGACTTTTGACATCCTTTTCCCTACTTGTGCGAGTCCTACTAAGATTCGACAAGTGGCCATTACAGTTCTTTTTTTTGTTAAAGTTCCAAAAGCTATGTATTGGATCATGAACTTTTTGTCCCACTTTCTTCAATCGTTGTAGCGTTTCCTCAGGAGATAAGCTTATTGATTTTGTCCTTTTTATTTATTTAAAAAGAAGAAGAAGAAGAAAAAAAAATCTTGGTCAATGTCTGTTCTAACTCATGAGTGCTCTGTATAGAGGTCTATCCTAATCTTGTATTCTTTTTCATACACTTCACAGAAATAACTCAAGACACGTGTCTCTCCATATTTCCTCCCCACTTTTTCGAAGTGCAAACTGATATCGTCTCTTTTGCAGTTGGGAACTTGTCGAAGCGTTGTTTTCAGGAACAGTAAAACTTGACAGCTTGTATCATTATACTCTGCTTTATGGGTAAAGGGGAGTGTAACACTAGAAATTCAACAAAACAAATTATGGTCGAACTTGATTCGTTAATTGTGGCATATATTTTGTGCATAAGAACCTAATATGTTGATGTTCAATGGTTGCTTTGCTTAGCCTTTTAGCATATGGAGGAGCACTAAGGAGATGATGCTGGTGAAGAAACTTTTGAAGTCCCATCTGATTATGACACATTGCGTGGTCAAAAACAAAGGTAGAGTTCTGAAAAACCCTTAGCTCAATTAGTGTCCCTTTAAGGTAGGATGTTGAGAAAGTCAATCCTGGGGTGAGGGTCACATTTTGGAAAATGCCCTGATCTGATAGGATAGTGCAAGTCTGCGGATATTGTCTGCCTTGTTATAAAAGAGCACAATCAAAACTTGTGTGCGTGTGCGTGTTGTCGATTAGGTAATAGAATAGAATAGAATATAGAAAGCTGACTTCTTCCGGCCCTTTTGCGTGCGTGTTGAGTGTGTTATTATGGGGCGCTGTGCGCTGATGGATGGTCGGCGCCTGCTTGTGGTTGGCATTGCAAGCTACAGAGTTGGCATTGCATTGGTACAACAAGTCCTATTATAATACTGTTCTTTTGTGGTATTTGTGTGTGTCCGTGTGTGTGTCTGTGTGTCTGTGGGTGTGAGTGCCCCTCTCTCTTCCCTTTGCCCTTTGCTTGCTTTCTAATAGGCTACCGAAAGTGTTTTACATTAGCGTAGTTTGTGTATTATTTGAACCTGAAGAAACTGGATGAGGCCAATACTCATAGGCCGTTTTAATTAAGGTTTAATATCCTTAATGCTCTCTTATCTTTTAAGCAATTCTCAATAGGCAGATTTTTGTTGTATTCTGAATTATTGTTTCCTTAAATTTATTTGAGGCATGTCATGTGTCCAAATATCTTCATAAAATAATAACTTAATATTCCATTAAATTACAAATTTAGTCTATGATCGATCAGGAATTTGGTGTGTATTCATCATTAAATATTTTGATACCATCATTTGAGATTGGATTTCATTAACATAATCTTATTGGACGGTGACTTTTTTTTTTTCTTTTTCTGGTTGGAAGAATATGATCCGATTTGATCATCAAAATCTTGTTTTAAAAGAAGAATAGTTTTATGATAAAAAAAAAAGTTAATTATTAAGATAATTTCAATAAAATAAAAGAAAATCCCATCTGGGTTTCTCAATATGACATTTCTTTTTCAAAGATTTCATGTCATTCTCATAAAATCTCCTACTTCACCCAAATCTTCGATTTTACTGTTTATTGCAGAAAATAAAATGGTATGGGGTTGGGGGACTTAGCATTATATTTTCAAATATTCCTAATTTAGAATGTAATTAATTATATTAAACATAAAATTCAATGTATGTATTAATGAATAAATTACCTTATAAATTTTTTTAATATATAAAAAAATCTACTAAGCATATAGACGCCTAATTGAAAGTTAAAAGGACCTAGATAAAAATTTCAAAGTTTAGAGACTAATCGACTAATTTATACAAAAACCCGAAGGTAAAAATAATAATAAAAATAAAAAATAAAAAAAAAGAGAGAAAATAAAAAAGGTAAGATAAATAAAGAAACAAAAAAGGTAGCTATGAAATGTTGTAGTGTAATTTGAGAGCAATAGCTTATAAGTCTCCAACAAATTTAAGTTCAAACTCAAAGATCTTATTATGCTCATCGTTGACTCTCAACTTCCAAGTGATTTCCACATCAAAACCAATTCTATAATTATTCCATTAACTTCTACTTAATTAATTAATTAATTAACTAATAATCCATAATCAAATTTCAAGTAAATACTCTTAAATAAAATTAACAGGGGTAGGCACTTCTCCATTAATTTTATTGACAATAATAATAATAATAATTATTATTATTATAATTGCTATGACTTTATTACAATTTATTATTTATATTTATCTAAAAAATATTAGAGAAGATAAACATTATGCATGCAACTTTGTAGAGCTCACAATACAATTGGAACACTCAAATTTTAATTATATGTTGAAACTTGGTGTAATCTGAAAACTCATATTTAATTGGTTGACTATTGGAATATATTAAATAAATTAATACAAAGTAAAAAAAATACCTCTCTCAAAATCTAAACGTATCTTTGAACAAAAATACAATAATACTATTCATAATTTTCCACACGCTATGTATTATTTAATAAAAGATGGGTTTTCAAACATAAATAAAAAGATATATAAATTTGAGCATAAGTGAAAATCATATATTCTAGGTCCATCTTTATACCATCATCATCAATTGATATCTTGGGTTTTAGCGAGGGAGCACGGTGCCTATAGAACCCGTTGGATTTGGATGATGTATTGACTCGGGGATTCGGGTTTATAAACTAATTTAGTTTATTGCTTTATTGACTCAACAAACAATATTTTTTTATTTATGGAAACCAATATTGTTGTGACATTTGAAATCATGTTTCAAAATTGGAATTAATTTGTTAATGGGTTAGCTTAGTCAGTAACACGTTTGAAATCACATTTCTCAATTTTTTTAAAACCGAATATTAACGTTATTAATATCCACCAGGAAAGTAATATATTTTACAAAATAATAATTCCATTTTAAAACTTTATAATATTTAACCATTATTTAAAAGTCAATTCTACGTTGCCAATACATTCATTCTCCACACAACACATTACTAATTTAAAAAAAAAATAAAAAGATTTAATCTTTTTTTTTTAATTATTATTTAATTTTTTTTAAATCACTATAAATATGCATGTTTCACATTCTTCCATCTTCAAACAAAAATGGTATTTCCCAATTTATTTCTCTTAATAATTTTCACTTCTTTTCTCTCTCTTCACAACGCACCGTTTTGGGCAGCGGCTGACAATTTATCTCTACCGGCATCCCTCGCCGGGAAGCTCCGAGATGACCCACAAACCATAAGCTTAGCGTCCACAGATTACGGCCGGATAATTCAAGAGAACCCCATCGGCGTTTTCTTCCCGGTCACCGGAAACGACATCGCCTTCTTCATCTGGGTCATGTATGCGGGGCCCATACGGTTGGATATCGCTGCCCGGGGTCAAGGCCATTCCGTACGCGGGCAGGCCTTGGCCAGGAATGGAGTGGTCATGAACATGACGTCACTGGCTAATTCCCGGCAAGGGGGCGGGAGAATTGTGGTGAAAACGACGTCGTCGTTGGGTCCGTACGCTGACGTGGGTGGCGAGCAGTTATGGATCGATGTGTTGCATGAGACGATGCGGAAGGGGTTTAGCCCGGTGTCGTGGACGGATTATTTGCATATCACCGTCGGCGGGACGCTGTCCAACGCCGGAATTAGCGGCCAGACGTTCCGGTTTGGCCCTCAGATCAGCAATGTTTATGAACTTGACGTCGTAACTGGTAATTTTTTTTTAAATTTTTAATTCAAGTATGGATTCAAAATTAAACAAACAATCTTACAATACCCAGAATTATTTTTTTCATTTGGACAACGTTAATGACATCAAAAAAGAAAAATTGTTATCCAAACCAAAAACCCAACTAAATGCCCTTAAAAGTCCCCGAAAAATAGGGGTTTTATTGTTTGCATGACTGCCACGTGTCATCCTTTTTTTATAATTCAACTTTTTTTTTTTTTTTTTGTTGGACGTGGATTTAGTTAACTCGAATTTAAATATTTTTTTAACTCAATTTAAAATTTTGAGTTATCTATTTATTTATATGTAATTTAATTTTAATAAATTAGCTATTAAATAATAATTTTTTATAATTTTAATTTATTTATTTTTTTGTTTGTACAGGAAAAGGTGAATCCTTGACGTGTTCCCCTACGACCAACCCTGAGCTCTTCTACGCCGTGCTCGGCGGTTTGGGTCAGTTCGGTGTGATTACCAGAGCTAGAATTGCCCTAGCTCCGACGCCCACAAGGGTCTCTCTCTTCTCTCTCTCTCTCATTAGTCAGTCAAACACGGCGGAGAGATAGATAATGAATTAAAACAATAAAAACCCATTTGTTTTGATTAGCTTACAATAATTAAAACACATTTAATGCGTTAATCAGGCCTCCGCCGGCTAAGCACTACAAATTTAATTTCCCATAATTAATTATTGAATGACGTTGGAAAATCCTTTTTTTTTTTTTTTTTTTTTAACGACCTTACGTACACTTAACGGTTTCTTTGACTTTTAAAATGGTTTTTTTGGGGGGTCAACCTTATCTGTGGATTAAGGTTAATAAAAGATTTATGATTTTTTTTTTTTTTTTTTAACGACCTTACGTACACTTAACGGTTTCTTTGACTTTTAAAATGGTTTTTTTGGGGGGTCAACCTTATCTGTGGATTAAGGTTAATAAAAGATTTATGATTTTTTTTTTTTTTTTTTAACGACCTTACGTACACTTAACGGTTTCTTTGACTTTTAAAATGGTTTTTTTGGGGGGTCAACCTTATCTGTGGATTAAGGTTAATAAAAGATTTATGATTTTTTTTTTTTTTTTTTAACGACCTTACGTACACTTAACGGTTTCTTTGACTTTTAAAATGGTTTTTTTGGGGGGTCAACCTTATCTGTGGATTAAGGTTAATAAAAGATTTATGATTTTTTTTTTTTTTTTTTAACGACCTTACGTACACTTAACGGTTTCTTTGACTTTTAAAATGGTTTTTTTGGGGGGTCAACCTTATCTGTGGATTAAGGTTAATAAAAGATTTATGATTTTTTTTTTTTTTTTTTAACGACCTTACGTACACTTAACGGTTTCTTTGACTTTTAAAATGGTTTTTTTGGGGGGTCAACCTTATCTGTGGATTAAGGTTAATAAAAGATTTATGATTTTTTTTTTTTTTTTTTAACGACCTTACGTAC